TCAGCTTCCCTGAGAGCGCACGGAGCCGTCCTAAGAGGATTTAGTGCGCAGTGTAATGATTGAATTCTGGGAAACATTGGGAGGGTGTAAGCGTGGGTTCTAGCTATCAAGTGGGAATATAATTAGCGAGAATGGACTTTCAATTTTTCTGCTTCACCCTCGCCCAGCTCTTGTTCCCACGATCAGGTTAAGGCACAGCACATCTGGGGTGACACAGTGTTGTTATATATATAAGACACTGGTTCACATTTGCCTGGGCATTCTATCCTTGGGCTAAAAAGTAACTCTCCAAGGATTAGGAGAATCTAAGATCTCTGTCTCTTGAATCAGTGTTCCCATATGTATTGTTTGGCAGCCCAATACATCGTCACCCTAGGACCTTCCAGCCCCAAACCCTTGGAGGTTTCCTTTGTGTTACTTTGTCATTGATTCTCATTTCTTATATCCCATGCATTCCTCATTCTTGTTCCAAACTCACCTTTTGTTGGGGCAAGTACTGTAGTGGCTTTTTGGGAGAGGCTGTGTCCTTCAGAGACTCCTTGAACTTGTTTGATAATTTGGATTATGCGTAAGAGTCTTAGGTTTTGAAGACAAAGTTCTCTTGCCTCCCTGACAGTTCGTTCAGTTGCCTTTGAGAACCCCTGATCCTTTGTGGGCCATCTCTAATATTCCTAAATTTCAAAATAAAGTGTCCTTCTATTGTTACTGTGCTGCATGCTTGTTGGGCCATTTCCATTTGGAAACTAATATTCTTCAGTTCTAAGAAATAATTTTTAATCTTTCATTTTTGTTTGTTTCTGATTATTACTCCTCTATATTTTTAATGGTGTTCAAAATACCTGTTATTTAAGTGTTGGATCACCTGAACCAGTTTTTACATTTTTCTTAGCTTTTCTCTCCTGCTTTACGCCTCTTCTTTTTCCTCTATGTGGGTGCAGATTGCCTGAACTTCATCTTCTAACCTTTCTATTAAACTCTCTTTTATCAAATTCTTTTCAAGGACTTTTTGTTTTCTAAAGGGTGCTCCTGCTCCTCTTCCTCCTTCTCCTCCCCCCCTTCTCCCCTCTTCCTCCTTCACATTTTTCACATTTTAAAAATATAGCCATGTTTATACTCAGTGGATGGACAGCTTCTGGAGAGCCTGGTGGTAGAAGAAGGCTGGGGGGACTCTACATTTGGCAGCTGGTCAGTCAGTCCCTGTTTTCTATAAAGTAACTGCACCTGCAAGACTGGGCATTGGAATCCAGTGACCCAGCATCCTATCGTTCTTATTTTAGCTGCCCCTTTATCTTCAGTTCCTGAGGCATCTAATGCCAGCACTTTGCAAGTCGTCTGCGAGTTTTATGGTGTGAATTGTGTTGGTTCTCAACTATTCCCACCCCTGGTGAGACTTTGACTCTATCAGGACAGTCGGTCAATTTCTCGTCCACTTCATCTGTTACTATTTTCTCCTCTTTTTAATATTAGTTTATATATTTTAAAATCCATTTACTATAATTTAGTAGCATTTCTGATAGGAGAGAAGTATGTGTTGAATCTGTCATCTCCATCTGGAAACCAGCTTGTTCTTTATTGCTTGTGAGAACTTGTAAATTCCATTTGATCTCCGTGATAAGAGTTTGATTATGCTGAGTTTCATTATGTTGAGCATTAGCTGATGTTTACTGGAGTCCAGTAAAACCTCTAAAGCCAAAGTAAGACTGAATCACCAAAGTAAGATGATTCATAAGTGGAATCTAATGAACAAACTGAACTAACAAGCAAAACAGAGATAGATTCATAGATAGAGAGCAGGCTGACAGCTCTGCACTGGGGGTTGTGGATGGAGGGATCAAGCAAAGAAAGAATAAGGACTCATGGACGTGGACTTATTCCATGTGTCCTTATTCAGTGTGGTGATTGTGGGGGCGGGGGCGAGGGGGTAGGTGGCGGTGGAAGAAGGGGGATAAATTCTAATGGAAAAAATACAATAAAAAAGATCAGGGATAGTGAAGCTGATGCTCGGATGATAAGCACTCTCACTGCTTCTCATTTGGATGAAGGAAACTCCTGTGAATTCGGCAGTTGGTTGTCAATCATAGAAGAGGAAGGTAGGAATTTTCCACAAGTTTCTGCTTTCTTCTAACCATGTAAAGCCCCAAATAGAAGTGTCAGATTATGGTATTTTTACAGTACAGTTGTTTTTCCCATTGCAGAAAAGTAGAAATTAGTTTTAAGTAAACAGAAATCTAACTTATGGAAATGTTACCAGATAATCGTTATAATATTATGGTAAAATAAAAGATAGATCAACTGGTGAATCTACTTTCTAACTAATGATGCCCAAAAGAGAGTCAAGGGAGTGAAGGAGAGGTAACATCGATGTTTTGGTTATTCATTTTTAAATAGAGTGTTGCATTTAATCATCCCAAAATCTTAGAAAATGCCTATTCGAAAACCATGGTCTTCAATCCAAGGATCAGAGGAGCTGAGTAACTTGCAAAACTAAGTAGTTATTGTGGGTAATTCGTAAAACCAAATCAGTGCTGGAATTTGAATCCAAGAGAGAACAACTGTAAATCCTTTGTACCACACGCTGGATAAATTTAACAATGGTCAGCAGTCCATGCTATGAAGTTGTAGAAGATATGTTTCCCTTTTTTTAAATTCCAATTAATAGCTAATAGTCAAAAGCACTGCTTCTCTTAATAAGCTTCCTGAGGAATAAGCAAAGTTGCTGATTTTACCCTCATACCAGAAACGAATGGCACATCTTTGAAAACTTTCCCCTAGATATTCCTTCTTGATTCCAGGTCTAGAATATCCATTCTCTAATCATAGTTTAAAATATCTGCTACCAAGTGCAGTGAATTCGTGACCAGACTAACTCCAAGTGTTGATAATAGAAGGAAATCAGAGGTGTTGGCAGGATTCCAGTAATTCTATTAAACGTCTCTTAATTTAAGTACTTAAATATTGATTATACTTTATTTCTTTATATTTTGACATTTGAAATTAAGAGAAAATATTATTAAGCAAGATTCTAACATGGACTCTCCCATTATTTATCCCTATATCCTGTTGCCACAACCCTTGACTTACTTTCCAGGTCAAAATTCTAGCTTTTCCTCTTCATTCCTCAAGTATTAAGAATCCTTATCCTTCTCTTACCTCAGTGGATCACCTTATCTGGATCTCTTTAGCAGTCTAGCTGAAGATGATTAGTTTAATCAGTACTTTAAGGGATCTCCCTATGGAATTTCCCTTCCATTTGTTTCAGAGATACATGATTACCATCCTGAAGACTTTTGCAATGTTTCTGTTTATATTTAAAAAAAGAGAAAAAGTATTTTCTAGATTATTAGTCCTCAAACAGGCGATGGTTACAGGGTTCCTCACCCTTTTGCTCGCTGGCCCTCCTGCTGGGCATCGAGAAGAACGGGCAAGGGCAAGCTCCAACCCAAACCCTTGCCCCTTGCCTCCCCTGCAGAGTTTTCTCAGCCCTTGAAGATACCCTTTGCCTTTCACATCTCAACAGGTCCTAAGCCCATCTTCCTCCCTTTTTTAAAAAAAGCTTTTATTGAATATCTACCATTTCTCCACCAGACAGTAGGGCCGTACAGGTCAACCGTCTTATTCCTGAGTGAGAGGGCCCTTACTCATTCACAGGCTCACATCTGGGTGTAAAGATGATGGCGCTTTTGAACTTTATGTAAGACTTTGGGGACTTGAAGGAATGGGGAGGATGTATGGATCACTTTAGTGGAAGCCAATCGAGGGGGTAATACTAAGAAACAAGCTATTGCTTTTTCTCTAGATCACTCTTGCTTCTCTAACTAAAAGAGCTAACGTGGTTTTATATCTTCAAAAAGCCTAAAATTTGACTTTCAGGCAAGAATCAATCCCTCTTTCCTATAAGTTTCAAATGATTAAGTTTAAACTATAGCCTATGTTACATTATTATTTTATTTTATTTTTGTTTATATGTATGCCTTCTCTACTACTTGGTGAGCTCCTCAAGATTTTTCCGTGCACTTTAAATGTATTTTATTCTCTGTATTATTAATTTTTAAAGCATTTTCAGACTCACTTACTGATATTATGCTTTAAAGATAAATTCAATGAGTGAAAAGTTTTGAAAAATCTTTAGTGAACACCACTGCCATATCATCTACTTACTGGTCTTTAGCTGGTTAATTCAAGATTTTGAGATTTTTTTCATCAAATCATTTATTTAATAGGGTAATTATAGTTTTAAAATCAGAAATATGGACATACTTTTTTTAAGTTTTGGGAAGAAAAGAATTTTGTTGTATATCAGGAATTTTATGGGTTGTTTTTGAAGAGGTTCTGTCTAATAAAGCCATTGTGTGATATTTGTCACCACCTAAAAAGGGCGTTTAAGGTGCTTAAAAGCTTCGTCCTGCAGCCTCGCTGTTACCACTGAACATCTTTCAAATCAGTTGGATTTGGAAGCGGTGAACATTCTAGAAGCCCTTTCCCTCCCACCCTCTCCCCCACCTCTTTTTCTTTCCCTCGATGTTTCATGCCTATGTGGCTCTGCTGTTGGCCACCAGGTAGAAATGGTCCCTTGAGCAGCTGAGTGTCTCAGATAGGGAGCCGTTGCAAACTGGCAGAAAGATTAAACCCCACACTGGACCCGAAGAGGTGAGTGTCCAGGATCATGATTTTTTTCATCCCTCTCTGATACATTAGCTGCTGCACACACAGGCATAAATGATCAGCGCTGTGAGCAGCCCGCTGGCCCTGCCACCTGAGAGCCAGAGAGAGAGGAGATGAAGGCTGGCCCGGTGGCAAGGGGGCCACGTGGAACGCAAGGGGAGAGCCACAACTGCAGAAACAGAGAGACTGAGATCAGAAGGGAGGTCTTGGGAGAGTTTTGGATTGAACTATTCAAGAGAAAACTTCTTGAGATTTTTTTTTAACCCTCAGCAACACATTTATGCAAATCTAGAGAAATCAAATATTTTATTTTAGGCTTTTCTCTTCCTCCCCCTCAGCCATCCCTCTGGGTATTCTAGTCGTGCGTGGAGACTGTGATTTGGAGACTTGCCGTATGTATATAGATCGCCTACAGGAGGTGAGTGTCTACAGCCAATTGTGTCTTTTGCTCATTTTTCCATTTTTGTAAGGAATTACCAGCCATCTTCATTTGCTTCGAAAAGGATGCATTTGGAGAGGAAATAGAAATGTGATGGCCTTGTCTTTTAATCACACACCACACCACTCTCCCCCCCTCCCCATTCCCCAGTTTCCCTGCCCAATGGTAGAAATGGGAAAAGATTAATTGGGTCAACTCCAGCGTGAAATTGTTCTAGTGTGATCCATAACTGTAGCTTGGAACTTCTTGTCTTTTTGCCAGACTACATACCTGTGTCTTTTGAGCTCTACAGAATTTCAAAAGGCACTAATAAATAATAAAAGAAAACAGGCTTGGGGTTATTTAACGTTTTGTATCTAGCACGTATTTCTCTCAGAAGGCTAGATTCTTTTTTTAAAAGTATAGATTGCACAGGAAAGAGAAACCTTCTATATTTCATGGGAACTTGTGGCAGTACACAAAGGAATAATCTGTTATTTTCTCAATCTGATTTTACCATAGAGAAAAGAGAGAGGAAGGGGTCTCATACATGACCCTGCCATGAATTTGAACCGCACCAGCAAAGCCAGGAAACCCACCCCCCCATTGTAGGAATGAGTAGTTGCTTTTATAACACTTTGAGAGGGGCAGTCCCTCTCTTTATTTTGCAAATGGTACTAGCATAAATAGCCAGTTCTTTATCATTGTTTACTTAATGAAAGATGTACATTAGAGTCAGTTTTTTTGGATATGGTCTAGACGCCTGTATTTTTTAAGCTACTGGGTGATTTTGATAGGCGCCCCAGAATGAGCAGCTCTTTTCCAGACAACACATTAGGCATCAGTAAATGTCACAAATAAAGAAGATATGTAGTGTTTAAAGTCCTTTCGAGGTATAGCTTAGCTTTGAGCATTAGATCTTATTTCTCTTGAAATAAATTCACATAGGAGGAATAAAGTGAAAATTATTAGCTCTTCTCTTCAGCATTGTTAATGGTAGAGAAATTATGAATGCAAAATATTTGGGGATAAATGCTGAATTTTGAATAGTGATATGGGTGCAAGAATAAAAGTCAACAAATTTTTATTCTTGTGGCTTCATTTGGCTATTTTTTACCAAGGATAACTTTAACATGCTAAAATTCGTGAAGTTTTTAGCCTGTGACTCAGGTCTAAATCAATATTTCTAGGACATAGTATCTACCTTTCAAAATAATATTTGTATTTTATTGGGGAACCTCATGCAATCTGCAATAGAGAGTTAATCCTAGTTCCTACCAAACTTCTTTTTTCTCTTAACACTCGGGTAACTTAAGATTTCCTCATAGCAAAATATATAACTAATGAAAGCCAACTTATTGGCATGCTTATCCCACCAACATTCAAGTAGAAGTGGGATTCAGGAAAAAAAGGAAAAAGCGAACTCTAGGAGGCAAAGTTTTAAAACTAACTTGGGCGCAGAGAGGAAGGTGAGAAATCCTTATGGGAAGCAGATATGAGGACAAAGTTGCCCAGGATTGCTGACATTTGTCAACAGAAGCACCGCACTCATTAGCAAGGAGGCCTGCGGGACATGGCCATGCTGACCACTTAGTTATCAAACTGTCTAAAGGGGGCCAGGCTCTTGGAATCTGCCAGTGAAGCCTCATTAATGTCAACCCTGTTAATTTACCTGTCGTGATAACGCTGAGGGGCACGGTGATTTTCTCCTCGTGGCCTGTGAAAACCCGTGTTTGCTGAGCGGTCTCTCGGTATAAACACAATTACCAAGACAGTGTGTATTTGGTCTAAGGCAAATAAATTCATTCTGAGTGCTTAAAGGGACTTGGGAAGCTCCCCTCACAAGCCGAAAGATCAGGTGCAGATTAAACACGACCCCCATTTATTAGAACAAAATTGCCCATCTTTTACTCTTGGTCTTCTTTATCCTTGAAATTATAGCACTCACCTGTAAACACTGTTAAAATTTGTAAGTTTCAATAGCTAAATGGCCTTTCTTCCTTCAGTTCAGGTTGATGTGCTCTTATTATTTTTGGCATTATCTTCTTTGTTTAACCTTGATGAATATGGGTGAGTTAGATACTTTCCAGATGACTTCAATAATGTTAAATTGAGAGTTCAGGGGATAGAGTTTGTTTAAACAAATCTTAAGGTATGGATATATCAATATACATGTAATTTTTTTTTTCCATTTTCTCATTAGGACCTGCAGTCAGTTTCTTCTGGCTTCCACAGAGTTCATTACCAGGTAATGCATATTTGACTCCCGTCTTTCTTATCTTCCGGCCAAAAAAAAATCACCTTTCAATGAATGTCTCATTTGGATTAGAGTCCACATTTTCCCTAGAGAGACAGAGTTTACTCCAAGAACCTAGTGAAATTAGCATTTTGATTCTTTTGCAATTTTTTGGTTTTGGACAGCCCTCGCTTAGCACAGATTTTGACTGTGGATTTTTCTCCCAGATTATTTAGAAAAGTGATAATGAAATGGCTTTAGTGCCAAATGCTAGAAAACTCAACTCAAACTAACTTGACAGGGCAAGGCTACTGGTTCACATCAGCCAAAAGTTCAGACCACGGGTGGATTCTGCTTACCATGTGGCCGTGCTTCCTGCTCTGTTTTTCTGCTGGTCTTTTTGCTCTGTTATCCTTTTTGGTCAATTTCAACCCTGGACTAGATGTTTCCCTGATCCAGGGTGACTGCCATTAGCAATCAGGGCTGTATGTTTCTCCTCCACCTCCAGGAAAGTGAATTCTCTGCTTCCTACAGCCGTCACACAACATTCTAAAGTGGAACCCAATTAGCCCGTTCTGGTCTTTTGGGCGGCACTCAATCAACCCAGCTGCCTCTCTGTAATGACCCACGTCCAGCCCACAGTGGAACGCTCAGATACCCTCTGTTCCAGTAGTCTTTGGGGGTGCAGGGTCCTCCCCGCTTTCGCACCTCTGCTGTGCTGTGCAGGCCTGTCCTGCCATCTTCCCCTCCATTAGAGTCCTCAGGCACGGTCCAGATACCAGTGCACGTGTAGCCCCACCTGCTGGGGCACATGTGCAGCCCAGTCCCCTCGCCCGCTGCGAGGCACGCGCAGAGCCAGTGACTCCCTCCAACAAATCTTCTCCTAGAGCCTTTCCAGCCTCCACGGGATGAGGGGTGCAAGGATGTCTACGTTTGGAAATTTGTAAACCCTGGATTAACACCTCCCTTAAGGTTTTGATGTCTCTTTTGCTATTTCCTGAAACATTCAGTTTAGCATCCTTTTGCAGAAACAACAAGAACAACCATTTTTATAACCCTATACCTGCAGCCTCTAGGAAGCCTTCTTCCCTTGAAAATAGATACTGTCTCCTCAGCTCCAGCAGCCTGATTATCCTGAGGCCGAATGGCAGGATGGCCGTGGCATTCTTATTTGTTTGCATGTTTATTTCTTAAAGCACAACACTCTTCCAGAGTCCTCACTTCCATCTGGCAGCAATAGAAAGAAGGAGGATTCACTCAGGGTGTATTTTTATTGGGAAAATAAACTCTATCTCTGAGACTGGGGTTTTGTTTCTTTTTTCCCAGCCATTAAAAGGCAAATTTCCACTTTTTTTTTTTTAGATAGAAAATAAGACTCCTGACAGCCTTTACTTGCCTATTTACCTAGAGTCACTATTTGGGTGTAATTTTATTTTTAAAACCAGTGCTTTTAAAGGCTGGAGCTGATCCCCACTTTGATAAAATTGGCACTGTGGTAGCTCTGAGATTTGAAGTCTGGTGTTTTCTTTAAAGACTTTGCATTTTTTACTCATGAATGATTTGAACCTTTGCAGTTTTATCGGTGTACATATTTCAGACATTTATCCTAACTCGTTTTATGAAACTAACACATTTATTTATTATCCTGGCTTATTTGATGTCATTTTGGTGTAAGATCTTGGGTACGTGGCTATTTTGTACCATGTTTTCTTCATGGCGTGTTTGTACATACCCACAGAGATCAGAGGATGTGATGAGGATGTCTATTTATTATCATTTGACAATAAAAATATGCAGAAGGATTCATGGTATTTGTCTGACTGTGTAAAATTTTGCAGTGTTTTGTTTACTTGCAGTCAGGCCAAATCCTAGTGTCAAAACTGCTGCCAGTGAAGGCTCTGTGCGCTGACCGCGTAGCATTGCCAACGCAGTGCTCCACGACGAGCGCCAGGCCTCGCCTCACTCCCTCCTTGCAGAATTACAGAAAGCACTGTCCTTGGGTATTAGGGGAAGGCTGGAGTAAAAGAGATCTCGGGAAGCCCAGGATCTGCCCATTACGTAGGAAGCTTGACTGAGGAGGCCTGTGTTTGAATTAACGTGGCCAGAGGAAAAGGAGAGCAATGAGAAAATGTCCTGAGCAGAGCAAAGGAGAGCTGAGTGAAGCAAAGAGTTGGAGGGATAGACCCATGAACATCTGTCTGGGGTCCCAGGGAGACAGGCAGGGGACAGAGTTGGAGGGACAGTGAGCAGACCTCTGTTTTAGCTACACTCATTTCATAGGCCTGTTAGGTCCGCGAGTGGAAAGCTGGATGTATGAAATGTTAAAGCTCGTTGATACACTCAGGACCAGAGATAGACATTTGAGAGTTATTAGCAGCCGGATGGTCCTCAAAACTCCGAGGCTAGGGGAGATCACCCAGGGAGAGTTTCGATGAAGAAGAGCTCAAGTCTAAGAGAACAATCAGTCAAGAAGAGGCATGGCAACTGACGAGCAGCAGGAAAGCTGCAAATCAAGGAGAAGGCGGCATCATGAAAGGCAAGAGGCAGACTGTATTTCAGAGAAGGGAGAAGTAATGAAATGTGTCAAATGCTGTTGAGAGGTAGAGCTGACGCAGATTGATTTCTCTATTTTTCTGAGGATGCATATAAAATACATGGGATAGAGGTGCTATTCATTTTATGTAGAAAGTGACAAAACCGACTGGCAGGAAATGTAATACTCAGTCTTTTGTTTCCTAACACAGAGACCCGTAACAACAGACTCTCTAGTCTCTCTCTCTCAGTGGGAGTTAGGGGGGCTGTAGGAGAAACCTGTCGGAAACATGAAGCACAAAATGCCTTACATGCTTTTCAGTGAACTTTCTTGTATATGAGGTGGCACTGAACATGCTTGGAGAACTAACAGTGAGGGAATGAATAAATGCTGGTAAGTTTAAAAACTTGAGAAATTCCCGTCATCTCACTAACTTGCAGTTGGGAATTCAGCTGACTGTTTTCTCCGGCTGGAGGGAATTGAAGAGAGAACCAGCATTCAGTAAGGCGAATAAGGGCCCGTGGCACCTTATTAGTGAGCCATATGGCAGTTCCTAGCCACCTGAGCACTCTGTTGCTGTGGTTTCCTCCTTTCCCAAATTCATAGTGAATTGCCAACAAAGCACTAAGACTCAAACATGACACCTTGTCTTAACCTAACAAGGCATAACGGGTCACACAAGAGTGTGCTGGATATTTATAGCCTGCTGAAAATTCCTGCCTGCACCATCTCTGAGGTCAAAATCCAAAAACCCTTCCACCCTAATGGCATCTCACGTAACCTGTAACCAATAATTTAGACAAGCAAAATGCGCCGTGCTTACAGAATCAGGATGTTCTTGAGCTTGGCGGGCAAACTAGTATTTACAAAGAAATTGGACTTTGCCTACCTATTCAGCGAAGATGCTTTTGGAGATAATTTCTCCGCTCCCTCCTTGGACTTCATTATATTTCTTGTAATTACCAAGCCATAAGTGACTACAGAGTGAAGGAGGTTCAACCATTCTAGTAATTTTCAGCTGGGGGAGATCTTGCCCCTCACATGGGGAATTCAGCAATTTGGACATTTTTGTGTGTCACCCTCAGGGGAGGAGGTGCTACTGAAATCTGTTGAGTAGAGGCCAGGGATGCTGCTAAACATCTTACCATGTAAAGGACGGTCCCCTACAGCAAAGGATTATGCAGCCCCAGATGTCAATAGCGGGGCACTTAAGAAATGCTGAGTCATTCTGATGGCGTGCAGGACAGGACAGAGGACCACAGGTGGATATAGGCCCAAGATGAGGAAAGGTAAAGGAAAGAGAGGGGAGCAGATAGAGAAAAAGTAATGAAGGGCAGAGAGGCATCTGAAGACATGGTAAGGCAGAATAAGCAGAGATCCAGGAGCAGTGGAACCAGCCACACATAGGGTGTTTCATAGACACTCAGTTATCAGCATAAGGCTCCACAAGGAACTGGTGTCGCTGGCACACAGAAGTGTGCTTCCCAGAATATTACAAGCTAATAATTTGAGATTTCAATGACTATGGTAGGGTTTCATAGTAGGTTCAAAAAGGGATCCATCCAGTGATTTTTTTAAAGAATTAATTTACTTAAAACTAACACTAGAAGTTTTGGAATGTTTCACAGTAAATATACCATTTTTGAAAAGAACTTTAATCCTTTAGAGATGTCTTTTTTCTTCTTAAGAAAAACTCTTGGTCAGATTTGAGTCCACATCCACTTGCCCGCCCTGTGAGCTCCTTGTTATTTATTTATTATTTTCTACATGCCTACCTGAGCTTGTATTGCACCAGAGCTTTGTCTAGTCCTAGGCAAACAGTATTTGTCCACAAATACTTGACTATTTATAACCTTCTCTTTTGCACTGGCAGTCCTTACTCATCTCTCTCTCTGTTCTTTGAAATCTGTTGCTCCTTAATTTGTTTCTGGATTTTAGAAGAGTCTTGCAATGGATGGGTTGAAACAGGTTAAGGAGGTCCTTTGGGGAATTAATTTATTTTGTCTTAAGGAAGGACAGGAGTTAGCTAGGAATTGTGTAGAACGTTCCTTTGGGCTAGATCAAAGCTTTTGGAAATGGATTGAAGAGGGCATTAAAATAAGTCTTGCCTGGGCCATGTCTGTTTGCTAGTGAAGGCGGTACTTCTGCCAACACGCACACTCACACATACACACAGTTGTTGTCATTAATGGAGGACTGTCTCAGATACACCAGAAGGGCTCTCGAAAACGTTGGCATCTCTCTCATTTCCATCTCCTATCACACTATAACTATTCCCCTTTCAAAACTGGCTCTGGAAATGGGTCCCATTTCTGTATCCTGCCGCTGGAGTTGTGGGTGGTAAAAAGCTTTGAAAGACCATAGTGACAGCAAATCTATTAATGAGGGTTACAGTTACATGCACATGTATCGTTCATCATCCCTGATGGATCCACTCACCAATGATGAAGGGACATGGATATACAACTTGGTGACAAAA